CCAGCGATGTTGACACTTAGCGTCGTTTAGACTCTGAAGTAGCAAAACTCCATAAACCATCACATACGACGCCGTATGTCATGGCTAAAAAACTGTATGCTATGGTTAAGTGAAAATTTGTCAAAAATATCATATTTTACCACTGATTACAAAAATACCGTTTTCATTTTCACATGTTATCCTATGAATATCATGCTAACTATGGAATAAATCGTATATATCATGTGTATATCGGTCAATATCTTGAAAAGAGGATATGTATCAAATATATCGTGTATATCATTAGTTTATCGCTCTTTATCTTGAAAAGAAGATATATATCGAATATAGCGTATATATCGTGTGTATATCGCTCTATATCTTGAAAAGAGGATATATATCGAATATATCGTGTATATCGTCGTGCATAATTTTAAGAACTGATTCAACAAACCCTTATTGGGGATATATATCCGATATATATCTAATACACAGGATATATATATCGAATATAGCGTATATATCTTGTGTATATCGTTCTATATCTTGAAAATAGGATATATATCGAATATATCGTGTATATCGTGTATATCGTCGTGTATAATTTTAAGAACTGATTCAACAAACCCTGTATTGGGGATATATATCCGATATATCTTTAAGACAGGATATATATCAAATATAGCGTATATATCTTGTGTATATCGTTCTATATCTTGAAAATAGGATATATATCGAATATATCGTGTATATCGTGTATATCATCATGGCTAATTGTAAGAACTGACTCAACAATCTCTGTATTGGGGATATATATCCGATATATATCTTAAACACAGGATATATATATCGAATATAGGGTATATATCGTGTGTATATCGTTCTATATCTTGAAAAGAGGATATATATCGAATATATCGTGTATATCGCCATGGACAATTGTAAGAACCGACTCAACAATCTCTGTATTGGGGATATATATCCGATATATATCTTAAACACAGGATATATATATCGAATATAGCGTATATATCTTGTGTATATCGTTCTATATCTTGAAAATAGGATATATATCGAATATATCGTGTATATCGTGTATATCGTCGTGTATAATTTTAAGAACTGATTCAACAAACCCTGTATTGGGGATATATATCCGATATATATCTTGGAGACAGGATATATATCGAATATAGCGTATATATCATGTGTATATCGTTCTATATCTTGAAAATAGGATATATATCGAATATATCGTGTATATCGTGTATATCGTCGTGTATAATCTTAAGAACTGATTCAACAAACACTGTATTGGGGATATATATCCGATATATATCTTGGAGACAGGATATATATCGAATATAGCGTATATATCTTGTGTATATCGTTCTTTATCTTGAAAAGAAGATATATATCGAATATAGCGTATATATCTTGTGTATATCGTTCTATATCTTGAAAATAGGATATATATCGAATATATCGTGTATATCGTGTATATCGTCATGAATAATTTTAAGAACTGATTCAACAAACCCTGTATTGGGGATATATATCCGATATATATCTTGGAGACAGGATATATATCGAATATAGCGTATATATCATGTGTATATCGTTCTATATCTTGAAAATAGGATATATATCGAATATATCGTGTATATCGTATATATCGTCATGAATAATTTTAAGAACTGATTCAACAAACCCTGTATTGGGGATATATATCCGATATATATCTTGGAGACAGGATATATATCGAATATAGCGTATATATCATGTGTATATCGTTCTATATCTTGAAAATAAGATATATATCGAATATATCGTGTATATCGTGTATATCATCATGGCTAATTGTAAGAACTGATTCAACAAACCCCTGTATTGGGGATATATATCCGATATATATCTTAAAGACAGGATATATATATATCAAATATAGCGTATACATCGTGTGTATATCGCTCTATATCTTGGCAAGAGGATACATATCGAATATAGCGTGTATATCGTCATGGGTAAATGCCAGGAACATGATAAAATCTGGAGAAGTATATCTGGCCAGATTTTATATAGCCTTATATATCGACGATATATATCGAATATATCACATGTAAGTCAATGAGAGGCAGTATAGCGATATATATCGCTATACAACGATATAGCCATTCCTGCACCATTCTCAACATCTCAGGGCTGAGAAGAAATGAGATGTCATGGTTTATCATGATGGCAGAAGTACAACATGATACTGTGAAGCACCTAATATCCAAATGCATGTAAGTTTTTGCACTGTGCTATATACATACAAAGACCGAACATGATCGCGAAATAAATGATATTGGAAATACACATCATGTACTGGGGCTAACCTTAATGCATCATGTTAATCATTTATTCAATGTTTATGTTTAACATCTGACTTTGGTCAGTTGGATGTATGTCTTCAAACAAAATTATTGCACTGTTTTTAATTTCATCTGTAAATGATCTTCATCTGTGTAACTCATTAGCGGTCTCCAAGTGCATTGATTTGGCCCATCTTTGATTAAAAGGTATCATGTAAGATATCCATTTCTATATATTGGAGAGTAATGCTTTGCAGTTCTAGTTTGAGGTACCTTCTCATATGTATCTTAAATCTCTCTTTAAATCACCTCTAGAGTGGTGGTTAATTGTGGGGGGGGGGGGTTAGGGCCAGAATGGCTTGGAGCAAGACTAGTTTACACGACATCTATATTAAGAATACCATTTTCTTAAAAAAATTAAGAATATCGTTAACATGTTTAGTAGTTTAGTAGCTAGTAGTATTGAAATGATGCCAATCTTAGTTGCTGTAATATTTTTGAGATCGTCCCTTAAGGTGGTATAGTATCTACTGAATAATTGAGAGTAGTTTAAGTTCCATGTGGGTGTGATTTAACACCTCCCCAAACATGTTAACCTCTAGATATGAGAGAGGAGAATAGTGATTCCATCTGGCTCCCAGGTATATTTACTATGAGTATGCTCATTACTCATCCAGGCCAGGTTTTATAGTAGAATCTATTTGAGGCTATCAGGCCTGTAGACAGCATTTGTCAAGGGAGGGGGGGGGTCAGTTATCAGTAAATTCCAGGATGGTTCATATTCGACATCTTTTGGCTCAAAACTTATCTGTATCCATAATTCATAAATTGAAAAAAAAACTATGTTTGAAAGGGAAAAAAAGAAAAATTTGGTCCAAATTCACTGGAAAAGTGCTCAGAATGGTGAAAAACATCATGATTTTGAAAGAAATTTTGGTCAAGGGGGAGGAATCCCCCAGCCCCAAACCCCCTGGGTACTATCCCTACATACTGGGCCTACATACATGGTATACAACTGGGACTTTTAACATTCTTAAGTTGTTAAATATTTGAGATAGAAAATAAAAGTATTGTCAAAGTGTGAGGAAACACATTAGATGCCAGACTTTGCTTCATAAACTTCTGGACTCATAAAAAACGATTGTCAATATTGTAAACATATGTGCGTGAGGACCTCATAGGTCAGACCTTATGTCTCTTTGTAAGGCATCTATTGCTAAAACTTAAACATTGATAGTGAAAGCTGTATGTCTGTCAGTCAGATCTTTATTGGGACTAAATATGTGGAAAGTCTGTTCTGTTCATCAATGCCATTTCTAGTACAGCTTGTACACATGTAAATGTATGCCAAATGTATGTGCAAATATAGCACCATAATCATTACAAGGTTACTAGGAAAATATTTTTTACATGCACCATTCTTCTTGGGCCCAAAAATTATTTTTTTCTGGGCCTAACCCAATGTTTATTTATTTACTTATTTGCCATGTACTTTTTAAACAGTGCCACAATGGAAAAATTCCAGTGCGGCAATACATATAACAAAAAATTATATTATCACACTACCCTACCACGTGACCACGTTTAAAAGGGAAACAGGGTACAGCTTAGTTGCAAATGGAGGACGTGGGTTTAATTCCATATTTCTGAACGTAAAATACATTTTACATTTATTTCTAGTGTTCTACCAGACATAGAATTGATTCATCAAGGAGTGTGTAGAATATTGTTGGCAAAAAACCACTATAGGCAAAGATAGATAATAGTGGGCGCAGTGAAGCAAAACCAAATGCAATACACGATACATTTCAGTAAATCTATAAACGTACAGGGAGCATGTAAGTTTCCCTTCGAAAATGTTACATTGATATGTAACAAAAAACCCAGTTAACTGTTATTTAAACTGCGTGTCATCGTGTTATAGGTGGATACGTTTTCTAGTATGTTAGTCAACTGTATTTTTGTGAATTTGAACAAAAAATTTTGAATGGTCGGTTTTTTAGGACGGTAGTGAATTAGACCATTCAATGGGTTCTATAGAAAGATTCTTCACATGTAGTTCAGGCAATTTCAATTATTCTGAGTAGCAAATAGTCATTAATACTGATAGCGGATAGTCATTTATCATTAACGTGTTGATATTTAATTTCGTTATTTTATTTCAATTTGATACCCAAGTAACACGTATAATCTAGCATTGTTGTTAATTTAATGACTAAAATGCATACGACTTGAAAGCCCGTGTCTAAATCTACAAAATAATGTTTACTTTATTTGGATTAAATAACAATTGATGACACCTCAAAGCATCAACAGGCGGCCTTTTTAGCATTACTTTCACTGTTTGCAACGTAAATGTACATGAGGCTGGGACATAGTATGTCTGTATAATCAGCTTACTTTCTCGCTCCCTGTACTATTGAACAATTTGCATTCCTTGTACCCTGTATTGATCAACTTTTGCAACTGTGTACCGTGTACTATGACATATCAAATATTTTAAAATTTAAAACGATATTATTTACATTATTTCTTCAACTATCATATAACTTGAAACATGGACTTCACTATTGCACCACTGAAGTGTAGCGAATAGCAATATTGACTCACTCCGAGCACCAAACGTATTAACCTTTTGACTAAGCAGTCGATATACTCAAAAGCGACATGTTTGAAAGCCAAAAGATTCGCGCATGCGCGATCGAGGTAGGGTAGTGTGATTATAGACATAAAATACAATGCAGATAAGCAAAATAATACAATATTCATATTACTCTCTTATGAAGATCATTCTCTATTTAGACTCTTGTATAATGTCTGATTCATTTACTTTCCAGTCATTGGCAGTATGGGGATTTGTGCCAATCCTCTGGATGGCCCTTACTGTGATAGGCCTGGTTGTCTTTGGCTGCTACAGGTGTTGTTGCATGGTGAATGCTAGCAAGAAGAAACCTATCACCTGCCTCAGGTGGACCATTAGTATATTTGCCATAATAACATGGTAAGTGCAGTATACCTGTCTCTGTATAATGCCACTATGGTTAAAGTCTAAAATTGTATTCTTTGTATTTATTCTTTGACTTGTCTGATCTTGTATATGAGTGTATTTGATGTTTTTCAAAAATCATCTCAAACTATTTTTATGTCACCAGCACAAGTGGTTACTTATTGAAATAGTTTTTGTGGATGGTGGTTGGTGTTCGGTGGTCAGCATCTGTAACAAATGCCAGGTAGTGACATTTTGCATGTTAATGCCTTGTTTAATTATGAACTTATATTTTGATGATGAAATGATATTTTCAAAAGTTATATGAGGCCATTACCTTAAATCAAAATAAATATTGGTACCTGCAAGTACAGCTACTTTATGGTAGTCGAATACCTCAAAATAGCTTTCTTATCAAATTCTCTTTGTGTGAAATTTGAACATTTTCACACATCCTTTCATTAAAAGTCAACATGACACATTGACTAGTGAAAAAGAAGACTATTTTATGTATTATAAATTACTTTAAAAAGAAAAATAAATTGCAAAAGTAAGAACATACTTAGGAATTTATTCAATTCTATTGGATAATATGATATTTTTCTGGCAACTGAATAAGTACCAAATTAAGTTCAAATGATTGAAAACCAGGCTCATTTGGTGAGCTAGAAATTCAGGAATTATACAATTTACTGTGATGTTCATTTTCTGATTGCTTGAATTCAATATGGAGCTAAAAATATCAATTTTGTTTTGGAATAAACCCATCTGAACAAACATTACTGAAATAATTATGTCTAAATGAAACAAGGGTGACATAAGGTTACATCAAAAGCATCTGTAAAGGTTTTAAGAATCTGTATTTCCAGAGAAAATATAGAACGCAATGAAAATATTATTTCATGCCTAAAACATCCATTCCAAAACTTAAACATATAACTTGTGCTATTCAAGTGGTTGATTTGAGGCAGCAATGATCATGCATAAAACTAATTTAGGTTGATGAATAAAAAATGAAAAGAAAAGGATGTTTTGTGAAAGATGTATTCAAAATATCACGGATAGTCTCTCCAGACTCTTTGTAATATTTCCTATGAAGTGGTTGTCACAATGCATTCTTTGAAGAGCTAGAAATTTTCATTTTATGACGATCTTGATGACTTGTAGGATTTTCACAACATCTGTGGTAATCAAATACTTGCAAAGATCGAGTTTGCATCCTGTTGTTGTAGTTTACTCATAAGATCAATCCTGATTGTCTCAATGAAGCTTGCACATATGTTGACATGTTGTCTTCTTAAACAGAATGGTTATGGACTGAATAAAGCAGGATGTTCTATCTGGGCTTGTTTTCTAATGGCACTGCTGCAATATGGACGCAGTTGGAGAAGAATAACAATTCTTTGTTCATGAAATTCAAGCTTTAGTTTCCTGGATCTTCATTTCCTGTATGTTGGGAAAGAATATATCTTATATTGAGAACCATGCATAGTAGATAATGCATGTTGATACAATGTTTTGATTGGTCAAAAGTGACATGACTAGCTCTGTGTGATTATATTGCACCCATTCTCTTCTTCACTTGTACAACCTTATACATTCATTTATTCAATTATCTTATAGTGCCATAGTTCGTAACTATGACAATATCATCAAGTTCCTTTGTCTGCAGTGCCGCCTTATTCATATCATCTGAATTGACTTTTGTTTGATCAAATCCACTATGTGAACTACTAGCGAGCAGGCGGTCTTCTTCACCTTGAGTAAGCCAGGGCACAACATGTTGCCGACCTCCCTGTAGATCTCTCACTCCTATCTCTCTATTGCCTATAACTACAGGTACATTGTCACAAACCTTTGGGAGCATAACACCTGGAAAATATTGTACTATTTATGGATGAATCAGCTCTTCATGATTGCTTAATCGCTGAAACTATTGTCGTTGGAAGATGGAAAAAATAGTCTTACTTATTACATTTAAGACATTAAATCTCTTTAAAACCATTCATTTTCTGCTTGAGTAAACATGTATCTATGATATCATACCTGTAATGTCCCTCATAAAACACACTTATGGTAAACTTCTTTGAAGAACTTAATTCCTTCAATTTCTTACCTTGATAAAGTTTAGAATAGAAGAACCGTGCAAGGCTGCCTCTGAATGCGCATGTGAATACCAGGATGATACTGTGCCATTCTTTCACACTCTCTTCCACATCTAAGGATGTATTACCTGGTGAAAAGGTGATATTTTTAGATGTTTCTTATGAAAGTTGTAATTGCTTCACAATAAGATTATGATTTCTGAATTTATCTGATGTACCATACACAGGTCTCCTAGGCCTCAACTAATGCAATCATCAATTCTGACCTCGCGAACTACTTTCCTTCTACCCGAACTTAGTCCGTGAGGTCGAAACTGATGATCTCGTTTGTGCAAGTCTAGGAGGCCTGATATAGAGTCAGAGTCATTATAAAAAGGACATATTTCCAAGTGTTTCTGAAACTTACCAATATTAGTGTTTGAACTTTGAAGCCGTGAAATAGACTGTGCTACAAGGGATGTATCATACACAAAGTATGTCATCATTCTCATTGCATACAAAGCCAGACTAGTATGATACTGGCACATCAATAATCTGATCCAGTGGCCAGTTGATGGTGCATCCTCCATAGTTTCAAAAAAACTGGCATACACTGTTTGCCTGGCTATGAAACTCCAAGCGGATGCGAGAATAACAGTGAGTACTGCTTCCATTTCGGCAAACACCAGTGACGAAATATTATGAATGCTACCAATACGAGCTGATTCCACAATAGCAGAGCTAACCATCCATATGATGAGAAGGATTACCCATACAATGAAATGGGCCATCTTAGGAAGAGCCTTGATATACTCTCGTATGTTGAATCGGTCCCATTTAAATATGATGACAAGATGAATGAATATAGAGACACATTGAAAACATGTTCCTATGTAATGGTTCATATTAATATCCCTCTGTGATAGGTTAATATAACTGCCATGTGGGCCATCTTCTTTTGCATTTCGTATCGTGATATCGTTTATGTTATTTTTCTGTGATAATGAGAAAACAGGATTTATTGTGATATTTCTCATGTTGTCAGGTATTCCACATTTTTCCAGTGTTTTTCCATAAATGATGCATAATGAATCTACCAGAAGAAGTTCGATGTTGAAGAGAACTCGTCCTATTGTGATACCTATCATGAATATCGCTATAACTTTCACAGATTTTGAATTAGCTTGACAGCAAGCCATTGTAGTATCTTTTCTTAAAGTACCTCTTCCAAGAAACACAATCAAGATATTGACTCCACCAGGGAAACCCAGTCTTTTTATAAATTACAGTTTCATTTTGAAGGTTTTGGAACTGTTATCTTTGCAGCTAAAACAAGGAAGTAAAATATACCAAGTATACAGTAATTATTTACCAAGCCGATCAGAGTTTGTTGTTAAAATACCGCATAGTTAATAAGATAGTATTTAGATCTTTAGGGCGGGGCTGCTAAACTGTAATATAGTCTATACTAGACAGAGGTTAGTTAATAACTAGACTCTGCACGCAGGGTAGTAATTATTCTTTTTAAATGAGTTACAGTTGCATAAGAACTTTTTTCTTATTGTATAACCATTCTCAAGACTAAGTGGCTTATTATGAACAGTAAAACATATATTTTTTATTGTTGATATTTCTAAAAACGTAATGGTTATTTTATTTATAAATTCTGCTTGGTCTATTTTGTATAAGTAGTTTGAAATAGATGTAAAATGACACTCTATCAAGTGAGTCAATTGGCCATTGACACTAACATGAGCATCTAGTCAAAACAATCAGGCAGGAGCTTTTCTCCATCAAGCCTCTTGGCTGCACTGTGTAATCAGCATCCTTCTGTATCTATGTCCAAGAGCATATATATAGTAAAACCTGTACTTCTCCAATCAAATTTTTTTCTTCATAACATCCTTCAGTTTTATAACTGCAATAGACTGAAAGGGATGTATATGTATTTGGTTGTTAAAAAAAGGATACAGGTCACATAGTGAACCCATCAGTTTGATTTGCAATATGAAAACTGTAGACCTCAGATACATATGGATATGATATCCAAGATGACAGCACAGGGGCTTGGCACATAATGAATAAATGGACCTAAAGGACAGTTCTTCCTATGTTGAATAGCTATTGAAGTAATCATTTCTCAAAGAGCAACTAATTAGTTAGACATTGATTTATACCCTGTTATCTCCAAGTAAGTAAACACAGTCAGACCAGAAACAATATACCCAGACATAATCTGATAATCAAGCAATTATTCCTTGAAAAGCCATTCTCTCATTAGACTGCCTTTCTCAGTGTGATCCCTCTGAATCTCTGCTAAAATAACATATCTCATCATCAAGTAACCATGGCAATTTCTTCACTTTCAGTCAGGGATCTTTAGCATTAGAAAGCAGATACATTGATCTAGTAATAGAATGGACATTATCTTGTATCCTCAATTGTTTTTGTGGTCTTAGTGTCAGACATGGGCATTCAAAAGACCATGTTTCAGATAATAGTTCAAAAATAGCCTTTCCTCCTATTCCCAAGTTACAACTTGATATGTCTCAGATAGTTATTTATATCACTGTTTCCCAAAGTCCCTCATAATTTCAAATTCTATATAAGAATACAGTATGGCAGGTCTCATAAATCTTTGAAGGAAGGTCTCCAACTTATTTGGCAATTGGAATTCAGTAATCATTAGTAAGTTCATATACTGCAGCGTACTCCACAGAAGTTTTTTATCAAGTGGGCGCAAAATTCTTATTTTCACGATTCAGACTGAAATTGGTCAAAGTATACCCATCTTTCATGATTTTTCTCATTTTCAAGTGGGTGCAAATGAATTTTCAGGTCGATGCAAGCCTGTTTTTAAAATCCCAGGTGGGTGCTGTGCCCATTTGCTTTAATGTTGGGGAGGTCACTGTAATGAAATACCCCCATGGTTTTTGAATGGTCATTTGTCCAAGGATGGTGCTTATCTAACCCAACCAGAATATCCTTAGATTATAATAGATGTTTGTATTAAACTGTATGTGGGTGTGTGGTAATAGGAGTCAGCTATTACTGATATCTTGGATAAAAATCCTGCATGTGGTTGTTCTGTGTTTGTTTGTTCTGAATGATTTAGAGATAACATAAGTGGAAATCACAGTGTAAATGCTCCCTCTTGTAGATTCATAACACTGGAAGCATTATTATCACTTTAAATTATATCATATGCATGTAGACTCTCAGGTCTGTATCCAGCTTCAGGGGGGGGGGGGGGTGTGGCACTTTTTAAAATATTCCAGGGGCTTCACAGTTGAAAAGTTGGCCCAAAATCCCTTGAAAAGTGCTCAGAATGATGAAAACTACATGATTTTGCATTGAAATAATGCCTTTAAGGCAGGGGGTGGGGGATGGGAGGTTCACAAACAAAGAAGTCAATGAGAAATGTCCAAATATATCAGTGTTCCCTTTGTCTTTCTTGGAAAGACATTAGACATAACATGCTAGTAACTATGGCAATTTCTATCATTGAGAAATAATATATTATAAGAAAAGAAATGTCAGGAGTACCAGAAAGAAGAAAAATGAAGGAAAACAAAAAATAACTCGATTCAAACAGTCGCAAAAAGACAACCAGAGAAAATCACCTGTTGCTTGCTGTGAAACCCATAAAAATGCATTAGACAACTCAGAAATGCAAAAGATTATGTTATGAATTATATTGTATTTATGAAGGATGACATATCTATGTGGCACCGTATCTCTAGTACATCACAATATAAATGGAAATAGATTACTATTTGCATATCATATTTCTAGAATACACACAGCTCCCATAAATTAATACTAAAATGCTAAATGAAACAGGAACAATTTGTTATTCATGCCAGTTTGATATGTTCTATAAATTGGACATTTATCTTGATACATGGGGGAAAATACAGGGCTTGGGTCAATAGAGGTACAAGAAAAGGGACCTCGGTTCAGTAGAGGGGAAGAACCCAAATTTGTCATAGGTTTTAAATCAGTGTTTATTTGACATAATGTCGCAGTGACTTCTTCAAGACATTGATGGTATATCTACTGGGATTAAAACTGTGAGGCAATATAGAATCAATGAATATGATATTCAAATTGCTTTATTTTTGGAGTCTCTTTGGGGATCATGAATATCACCATTAACTTGAAGCCAGCATTGTTTCTCAATCTTAAAATTCCATTTAAGGCAAAAATCGAGTCGAAGGGCTTAATTGAAAAAAAGATTAATTCTTAGAAAATGTACTTAATATTCTAGCAATGGACTCATATTATTGATACTTTATTAGATTCCAGATTTTTTATGACTGAAAGAATACATGGGATACACCAGTATGAGCAACTCTCCATGAAACAAATATGTAAAATGAATATAAATCTACAATGGGTCAAGCTTCACGCATGATCTTAATGAACAAATTTTCTCAATATTGAAACCCAACCTCTGAATCTGCTTAGATCCAGCGTGACATGTGAGCGACGAGACAATAAGGACCTGAACCATTTGTACAAAATCAATGCCTTTATTATTAACTTTCAACCCCACAGAATCATTCATTGTAGCTCTATTAGGAAGTTTTGAAGACGTATCGACTTCCTACTAATCGATTTTGTGAGCAATTTGTCCTTTCATAGGTTTTTAGCCATGGTGTGATAAATCAAATCTTCTATGTTGTCTAGAGAGCCTGTGAAAAGTTTAAATCTTCACTATTTAGTCAAGTATTTTTACCAGCAAGTGACCAAAGGGAGTGTTTGTTAGGCTGAGATTTTTATTAGAGATAGTGCAAAGACATAATTTTACTTCTGTTTTCAGTCATTTTAATGTGACTTTTATTGGTTCATTAATGTTAAACAGTCCTATTTTAGGACTTATCTTTAGTAATGATTACAAATGTACTGTACTAAATTGAAGCAAATGTATATACTGGGACCTTGGTATTGAGTTTATTTGAAATAAAATTTTACTCGCCTTTGCAAGAGTTCAACTTCACTATCTGCTCAAAATGAGTAGTGATTCTTTGATTTGAGTTATCCTTAATCAGAATATAGTGTCAGGAAAACACTAAAGCCAAACATCCGTCAAATCTCTATTTGAGATTTTTATGATCTTGGTAGCATCAGAACAATGATATAGTGACAGCTGATGGGATTCATGGTACCCTCCTGATCACATATTGTCTGGTATTTTCCATGGTTCTGATTGTCATTTTAGTCATTTTGTATATATGAACCATACCAAATACAGGGTGACCTAAAGTATACCACCCTCTTATTCTGGAAATTTTTTAATGTATTCTTCTTGTCTTAAATATATTGTTCAGTATGTTGAAAGGTATTTGTTTATTAATGTCACACCATTGACTTTGATATTAAGAGAAGTGTCATGTTTTTTTTTCTGAAAAGATTTGTGTTGCATTTTGTTTGGCTCACTCTGTATATTGGAAAGCGCATTTCGATTCCATCAGCACTATAGGTATTTGTTATAAGATTCCCTTAGGAGTCATCCATTAAGGATGTTTTATTGATTAGACTTGTGACTGGGGCACACTATGTATGCACGAGTGCCTTCAACGCCTTCACTGTGATGGATGATACTTACAAGATAATTGAATAGTAAATAGATCAGACTAATACCCATACCATTATACATTCATCTTAGCACCCTGAGTTCTTATCATGAGAAACTCTGACTTCCAGATGATTTTATATGATATTGATGTGATCTTAATAATCTCATGTGAAGCTTTGAATATGAAATGAATTT